TAACTTCTATTACTCAATGTAACTAACATTTAATGTTTAACATTCAACATTTAATGATTCTCGTTCGAGTCACACTGAAAACCTCTAATAACATTGGATTATAGCTTCGACCTCGATTCAAATAAAATACAATTATATAGCTATAAATTACACGTGTCATTGTCATCGAGGAGGGCGTACTGACCAGAACATCATTCTAAGCGCATTGTGTTCAGCCAAAAGTCGTCGGTTATGAGGAAATCTAATTGTAACAGTGTAACACATGAGCGCGCAGTTGACTCGTCTATTACATTCTTTGTATGTACGGAATTACATATCTTGTTTCCTGCTGTCATGATCAGTTCCAGTACAGTCAATAATTTATTTTCATTGTCTCGAGAATTAGTGTCGTTTGAAATGATGTCTCTGTCTCGTCATGCACATGATACATTTTTGTCTAATGTGAGACATCTAATTATTCAACATTCAAAGAAAAGTTGTGAACAATTTGAAAATGAACTGACTATACACTGTTAGTTGCGAGGAATGTGATCATATAATATATTATTGCAATGAGAGCTTGACTCGTAGTAGCTGGTCGACCTTTGATAGGTATAACAAACAATATGCTCAGTGAATGTCGTACTAGAGACTAATATACTGGATCAAACATCAGTTAAATTAAGTTTATTTGTTATTTATTTGATAATAAATGCATTCGGTCGTATTTAGTTACCACAAATGTCCGATAATGTTATCCGGATTTTATTCTTTCAACAACCTATTCATGGTTTTTGACGTGGTGTGCCGTTACCACGTGTTGCATTGTTGTTATTTCATATATGTAATATTAATAAATGAATAGAGATTATATGTGTCGGGAAAAAGAATAGAAATTTTATGTTTCGGGGAAAAAAGATGCCGTACGACTGTCATATACCGCTACCAAGGCACGGTCGGACAGTAAACATAGCCTTCATAACGCTTAATTGTTAATATTGCATGTCAAACAAAGCAAATATTTGAAACACTAAATTTGTACTATAACGGAAACGAACGTGGATCACTGGTGCACGAGTGTTTATAATCTTTACACGGCTGTGCATACTATTAAATCCTATTTCGTGTTTATTCTAGTCATGGTCACTGAGTCGCAAGTTATTAATAAATGAATGAATCACATTTGTTTCCCCTCAAAATGAAAACTGTAAATATACATGTATATATATTACATGTAATAAATATAAATAACATATGCTAATTATAATACCGGTTTTGGTGGAAATCGCAAATATAGTTCGTAACCCCTGTATATATAATAAGTTGAATCAAATAAATCTTCAAATAAAGATTTCTGGGCAATATGTACTAGGAAGTTGTATAAAAGAATTAAAGTATGTTTAGGTACCCAATGTCGTAGTTGTGAAATCAATCTAATTTTATATGCAATAACTTCCCGTGTGTGCGCCGTCAATTACCTTGGCGATCAGTCTGCCCTTGGTAGTGACCGATCGTTGTGGTGTTTTAATTATCATGTATTTTTCTCAGGATTAACAGTTTATTAGCACTGCACCATTCAATAACCCTTTGAAAGTCATTATCAATTTCTGAGAAATTGGGTTTATTGATTTGAATAAATTTAAAAATGTTAGAGTCGAAAATGGAAAGAAAATGGTAAAATTAGTTATATTATTAATATAATTATTTAAAATTAAGATTGGGCCTGGAATCGACTCTCGTTGTGGCAATGATGAAATGTTTTCAATGCATACAAATTGTTGGGGACTACAAAAGTTGTTTTTAAACTAAAGTAGAGAAAGCCCATCATTACCACTGTGTTCTAGTTTACAGCACAGAATTTCATGATTAATAGTGTTGAAGGCTTCTTTGAGATCGATAAAAATACCAAAGGTGATATGGCCGAGGTCCAGTTTGTCAGATATGTCCGACAGCAGGTCAGCCAAGGCAAGTTTTTTCTGGAAGTCAAATTGAGTATCAATGAGTATGTTTTTTTTCAAGAAATGTAATTAATTGCTTATTAACGATTGAGTAACATAATTTGCTCAAGACATCATTAGCAAAACATTTTTTTTTATATAAATGGGAGTGACCATCTTAAGAGCATTTGGAAATTTACTTTGGCGAAGTGAACAATTGATAATGTGGGCATAGAGGTGAGAGATGACATGGCATGCTTGCTTGACTATTTTAGGTGAGACCCTGTCATGTTAACTGATTTCTTAGAATTTAGAACACTGATTGCGTTGATTACATCGCTTTCACTCATTGGTCGTCACGGTAAATACATTGAGTCACAATAATTGCTAGTTAAATATTGAGTAAAATTACCTGGGCAGTACACTATAACCGAAATAGTGTATTGAAGGCACTGTCAGCTTATATTTAGAAAATATATTCACACCTAATATTACTATGTGGTGTAATCCCATAATAGTAATTGTGGCATTGTTCCATGTACAGGGAATCACGTTTAAATACAATGTAGTGTTAATAATGTGTCTCTAATAATGTGACGTAACACCAAATAGAAAATACATAACACATAGTCTGACATATAAAGAACATTATTAAGTGGAGCTTAAAAGTTTAGTGTCTACAAAATATAATAAAGGCGATTCATAATATAAAGCACGTGTTTTAGATTGAATGGCTCTAATAATTTGATTGATATTTAAATTTAAAGTAGCGGAGAGTGATGTGTTTTTATTTAGTGTGGTCGTGATTTCTACCGAGTTGGTAGGCTAGAGGTACGAAAAGGTATCCGTTACTGGACGGTAAGGGTATACACATTGAAGAGATACGGATAGTCCCGTATGCAACGCTAAACAGGTTTATTCATAATATACAGTAGATCTGATCCACGACTGACATAATACTTTTTGTTAGTACACAGGTTGATGAGAGTTCAGATAGTGATGTGAATCAACGGCGAACAAGATTTACCCGACTTGCGAACTCTCCATCTATATCAACAAGGCAGTGCTGTGGATCACTCCACTCAGAATCCAAGTGCAGTCTGAAGTCTCTTTCCTCGTAAACATTAGCTTTTGTCATGAGTCAGTTCAGTAGTTATTTCGATTGAACAGTCACAACAATTGTCGAACAATGGGAATAGACAATCATATTGCTGTCAGTGGGAAAGGTACGCACGTGTCTTTAAATGTTAATTTGTAAATATAAAAACGTATTTTTTTCGGGTTTACATTAGTGCGTTAACCCCTATTTACCCGCTTTCTGGATTGATATAAACTAATCCAATGGTTATCTTTCTTTAGAGTCGTGCCCATTAGTTGAGTCAGTGGTTATTTCATTAGAATCCGATTGAATATAGCATATGTATAGTTTTAAAATTGACACCATTTCACATTTATTAAGGTAATGCTTATCATTTAATATACGTTAAATACAATGACTTACTGTTCTTTGCGTTGTCTCTCCGTACATCGACAACTGTGTATTCATATTGGTCTTCAAACCTGTATGACAACAATTTTGTCAAAATGCAAAACAAACAAAGGCAACTATATTACAAACGGTGTCGCAAGTTTGTTGAATTGTGGATAACCATCATAACGGATTAGTAGATATGGAACGTAACGTCACTTGCATTTAATGCTAACACAATAATAAT